CCCAGTGAGCCAGCCACAGAATGAAACCAGTATTACTTGGGTTAAGTGGATGATTATATGGTGATACCAGTAGTCTTGCATTAACTTTAACCTCCACTGTCTCTTTCGGCCTGTTCTTCAGGCTAGTTCACATGAAGTACAAATGTTTTCTGCTGATTATCTTGAGCCTAACAGTAGTGATTATGTGAAGTTTTATGTAAATATTCACCTGACAAATTTGTCTCCTTTGAAAATTACTACTTGCAAAGCAGTAAATTCTCAAAAAACAATCCTGAGCATGCCATTTTTATCCACAAAAGTGAGATTTCACAACAATCTTAGGATTGTTTGGCATGATAGAATACATTTCTATCATGGTCTCTACATTTTCTTTAGCCTCCATTCATAGCACTTTTCACCCTAATGGTCTTTTTTAAAAATATTTTCTTTATTTATTTTTCGAGAGAGGGGAAGGGAAGGAGAAAGAGTGGAAGAGAAACATCAATGTGTGGTTGCCTCTCATGCGTCCCCTGCTGGGAACTGGCCTGCAACCCAGGCATGTGCCCTGACTGGGAATCGAACCGCGATACTCTGGTTTGCAGGCCTGCGCTCAATCCACTGAGCTACGCCAGCCAGGGCCCTAATGGTCTTTTGTTACTAGATTCTGTGAGCAAAGCTTAAAATTGAAGAACTCTGTTTCTGCCCATCTACTCAAGGTTCATACATACTTGTTGCCCACTGTGCACTGAGTTGTGCCAAGAGTTGAGAGTTTAAGGATAAACACATCGTGGCCCTGCCCAGGAGACATTTCTAGCCTATTAGAAAAGTCTGAAGATCACTGTAATTCAGGGAGGTATGTCCACTAGAGTTCACCCTCTTCCCACTAGAGTTCACCCTCCTCGAGACACTCCAGTACAGTCAGTCATGACCAGCTCTTTATCTTCCCAGTCATACCTCTTGGTGCTTGGTGCTTTTTCTCACCTGTCATCACATGACTGGCTCTTTCAGTTTTGATCTTTCAAGATATTTTCTCTGATTCTTAGGACAAAGCTCGACAGCCACACCTTCACAATATGTGTTTATATAGAGCCTAAGTACTCATCGCACTCTGTTGTAAATCCTATTCACTCAGACTGTGAGCATGTTAGGGGCAAAAACTGTTGTTTTTAGCACCAGCACATTGATGGGCACATAACCAGCAATCAGTAAATCTTTATTGGAATTCTGCTTGGGTGAGAGGCTTACAATAATGGAAGCAACGTTTGAGCTAGTTCTTAAAGGATGAGTCAGAATTTCCTAGATGGGTCTGGGAAAGAAATTTCAGGCCAAGGGAAAAATATATACAAACAGATGAAACAATGAAGAGTTCCAAGTGACTAGTGGCTCTCTACTTTCCACAGGTGAGTGTGTTTAGACACAGGTTCTTAGTCGTGGGGTGTTATTGACTGTCACTGTCCAGAGCCCACTAGATCAGATTAGAACTTCATCGTGGGGTGAAGAAGAGGAGACTGCTCCTTCCCCCAGTTATAACTCCAGAAGTTGAAAATTAGTCTTTTATTTGAATATGTATCTGTGACCTATTAATAATTTCTGTTAGTCAGCCTTTTCTGGAGGAAAGCCACTTTTTCCGAACTTCCCACTAGAGTTCACCCTCCTCGAGACACTTAGGCCATAAGAAGGTAGTGCTGAACTAAGCTTAGAGAAATGTGATTAAAATAGCTAAGAGCTTACTCTCCTGGGTAATCCAGTTTATATTGGTACTTTAAGCATAAATCACATTTAAATGAAAGCCTCATACTCTCCTGATTGATCTTGTAGCCTGTTTACTGAAAACATAAGACATACTTTCATGTTAGCGTATGATATGGTGTGCTTGCCAACAGAGAGTCTTGGAGTTACAGATGTCACTAAAGGTTCTGAGTGCTCAGCTCTTCGCGGTCTTTTTATAAGGCCTTGCTTACTCTTCCCTAAATACATAGGAAGAAATTCATAAGTTTTTATGTCACCTCCCCCATTCCTTGAAGCAGTAATCTATGGAGGAAAAATACTCTTAAAAAAGTATTTTTTGGTAGGTGACTATTAAGAATAATGCGTACTTCTTGTAAAGTTAAAGTGAGACTTTCCTTTGCATTTCTAAAATATAATGCATGGAAAACTAGAATGGATTCAAGGTTTTGATTGTTACATTTTAAAGCCTTCAGTGGCCCAGTATCTTCCTCTCTCTCTGCTTGTCTGCTTTTACTAGCTGGTATAAAGTAAATATTGTTGGTCAAGGAACATTTAATGGCTTGGTGCACAGGCAACAGAATTAGCATTTCAGAGCAATTTCTTAAGTTGCAGGGCATGGACTTCCTTGGGAAATGAATATATCTGTAGGAAGTAGGTATTTCCTTGACCATTTTGTACAAAAGCTGAAGTGAGACCTAGAGTTAGAATCAAGAGACTTGGGTTTTAGTCCTGGCTCTGAGCAAGGCATTTAGCCTCTTTGACCATCAATTTCCTTTTTCTGTAAGGAGTGGAAGATTGAGCCAGATGATCACTAAGAATCTTGTCATTCTTTTATCTTTAAATTTTATTGCCACCTTCACAGTAACCTAAAATCATTCTTGAGCCAAGCTATGGTGGGCGTTTATATTTGATAGTAAACAGCAGCCCTGCCAGGATCCATAAATCTTATCTGTTCTACTCTTGTGTGGTCCTGTCAACATAGATTTTATAGTACTGTTTCTGGGGTATGTGTGTGTGAGATGTGCCTGATTTAAACTTACTGACAGGCCCTGGGTGGCGTGACTCAGTGGATTGAGTGCCAGCCAGCGAACCAAAGGGTCGCCAGTCCAATTCCCAGTCAGGGCACATGCCTGGGTTCCAGGCCAGGTCCCCAGTAGGGGCTGGTGAGAGGCAACCACACACGGTATTTCTCTCCCTCTCTTTTTTTCTCCCTTCCCTTCTGTCTAAAAATAAATAAATAATCAAACAAATAAATAACCTTATTGATGGCAGTACTTTTGTCTGGACTGTTCTATCTGCTTGATGTGTCTGTACACCCACCAGACTTCCTTTTTGGCCTGCATCTTCTAATCTGCTTTTTGGATTCATGAAACAGAAATGTCATCCTCTTCCGTTTCTGACTAACTTCTTTGTAATGACTAAGTTTTTTGTCATGTATATCTGGCTGTCCTGACCTGGCCTCTCCTTTCTTGACTTTTTTTCCCCCTGTAAGAACTATGATAATTATTGCTTGCATTTATTGAGAGTTTTTCATATGCCAGGCATGTTACAAACACCTTTTTTAATGTCCATGTCATTTCATCCCTACAGTTGCCCTGCACTGTTTAGTGTTGTATTGCTCATTTTACAAATTAGAAAACCCAAGGCCCAGAGCTTACCACTGAGTGATAGATCTGAAATTAAAATTTCAGTTGCCTCCAGAGCTCATCCTCTTAAGCAACATGCTATATTATCTTCATGATGATGGTGGTGGCGATGATGAATATAATATGTTGAGTACCTACTGGGTGCTGAGCAATGTATTTGCCACTTTTTGCTTCCCCGTTTTATAGTAGTGGAAACTACTATTTCACATGTTCCACTTTTAGGTTAAATACTCATATAAGTGCCCAGGTTCAAATGGTATTGGGCAGTCTTCTTACATTGGAGCATTCTTTCAGTGTATTTTTCCTTTTGCTCTCTTTCCCGTTTTAATGGTCAGCATCATAATATTTTTCTGACTACTGCCAGTATTAACAATTAAATGTTGCCTGAGTATTTCTACACATTTCTTATTTACTGGTGCCTTAGCATTATCATTTTTTGTTTGTTGCCTTTGCTATTTTTTTGTGTGTGTCAAAGCAGATAATGGGGATAAGATAATGGGGGGAAAGGAGAAAGTGCTAAGGAAAAGCAAAAGTCCAGATATTAGAACTCTTTCTGTGATCTCAGTTTGGAAAACAAAGATTTAAATGAAAACTCTGCATTTTGAGTAGCTGTCATTTGTTGAAGGAATATTAGGGCTTTGGCACTTAAAAACTCGATGATATGAGACATGGGATTTGACCTCACTAGCCTTAGTTTTCTTATCTGAATATAGGGTAAGCAATATATTCTTCACAACACGTAGTTAGTTTTGGTGATGATTAAATGAAACAACCAGTGTAAAATTTCTTAATATAATATTGAAACTGTTAGTCCTCCTTTTTTCCTTCAAGGGCTTGTTAAATAACTCAGAATATGTGGCCAAACACTCAAAGTATGGCATGTGTAGCTTTTTTACATATAGAAAATTTAGCGTTAGCATCCAAAGGCATGTATGTAAATAAAAACTCATCAAGCTGTAGTCTTAATGTTTATGTATTCGCCTATCCGTAAATTAATTATAGTTCAGTAAAAATGAAAAGTCATAAGCAAGCTGGACTTTTGGTTGCTGCATGTGGTGAGCTGATGTTTTCCATGTATTGTATCCAGCATGTGGGACTACTCCTCTGTAGTCCTCAAAATCATGTGGTGGTTATTGAGCTTTAGCAAAAAGAAATATTGTAATATACGCTCCAAATATTCATTTCCAAAAGTTTATATCTTAGTAAGCCAAATTTTCAGAAATAATTTCTTTTTATTTTTAGAAAAGGTATACTCAATCCTAAAATAATGTTCCTAGTGTTATTAATTCCCAGTATGTAAATCTCATGCTGCTTCGGGTATGTCACTCACAGGTAGAAAATACAATTTTAGAGCAATCAGGGCAATGTGAGAACAGTCTGATACATTTTCGGCAAGCCTGTATCAAAAACATACCTTCAAGTGGATGTCTGCTCCCATTAGCCTGCTTACACGTAACTCTGATGGGGTTTTGTGTGATAAGTTTACAAGTTGTTTGGTTGACTCTTGAGCAAGCTCCCTTTCTTCTGGAGAGCAGGAACCAAGCTCAATGTCAGGAAAAGTAGGTGTGGACTTTTAGGGCTGTGCCGCTCAGCAGCTAGAATGTGGTTGGCAGTCTCCTCCCCTTCCTGCACTTCTGCTCTTCACAGTGCGCACCCTGGAATGACAGGCATTCCTGTGTGAAGAGAGCCGGCGTGAAGACGTATTTGTAAGAACCACAAGTGCCCAGGCCGGGACAGGGAAAGAAACTCCAGCAGAGTGACCTCATACCATTTCCTGATGTTTGGCAGTGACACTGAGAGAGGAGTGCACGTCCCCTCCTTATGTGGATTTATCTTTTAAGAAAAGTTCGCTTTGGTCCAGCACAGTTTGTTGTCGTGAGACACATCAGACAATATAATCATGGGGCAAGCTGATGTCTCCAGACCGGTAAATCCAGATGCAACTGGTGAGTAATAAAAGGCAAAGAAATAAAATCTTGACAGACAAGGCAGATCTTCAGGTGAAGTTGAATGTTTTATAGGAATTTGAATGTAAGGATTTTGATGTTTATAACTTTGGGATGTTTATAACTTTCTGAAGAATGAATGAAAACATTGTTAGTCATATTTCATTTAATCGTATTCATCTACCACACATAGTTTTGTTTTACTTGATTCCTTTGGAGTTTTTTAATGTAATACTGCTAGGGAACCATCTGTTCATTTCTTGCCTTTGCAGAAGATAACCACAGAAACTCATATGTAGAATTCGGTGGTGTTTTACTAGTGTTTGGCAGGGCTTGGGCAATTGATAGATATATGTGGTGTAGAACTAGAACTGTCAACTTCTTTAAACAGGACCATGTTAAATAATTGACTTAATTTTTCAACTGAGTTATACAATTTCCAAATAAGTCTCAGACTTTTTCTATTGTGGTGGTTTTCCATTTCTTATGAGGCAGCACTGTGGTATAAATATTTCTGAAGTCAGTGCTTTACATTTGAAGTGTCATTATCTCAGAGATAGCTGGAGATCAGGCTGATAATTATAAGTGTAGCTCAGAGTTTCAAAGCTTTTAAGTGAAAAGGAAGTCCATTGTTACTGAAGATTCATTTTCTTAAAGTTCTGGGTTTTTGGATAAGATGAAGTTGGAAAGATGGGAAAAATAGTTTTAAATGGATGTTCATTAAACATCCATTTAAAAGGATTGTTCTAAATATAAGCAAAGTGGGAGAAATCCTGTGAATCATTTCTTGACACTAATCTAACTTTTAAAAAGATGTGTACCTTTTCTCTGACTTAGGGAGCAGCAGAAAGCATGTTCAGATCTAGGCTGTTTTTTTGTTTTTGATTTTGTTTTTGTTTTTCCCCAGAAATGAAAAATGTTGGTGACCTTGAAGAAAAGTATGTAAGGGTAGGAGCACAGGTCACATTCCCAAATGTCTCATGATTTAATAAGATTTATTTTTCTAAAGGTATGTTTTCTCCTGAGAACTTGCCAAATGAAATTCCTACAAAGCATTTTTTTTTTTTTTTAAGTTTCACTGAATCTGAAGCACACGAATCACAAAGTGAGTCACTCAGTGGCAGATTTTTCACAATGAAGTCAGGGCTCGATTCACTTCGCCTTCCTTGATCACCAGGGCTGGGTCCATACCAAGTTACTAACCCCCTTTTAATTTTTTAAATAAAGTATTTAAATATTGTAGGGAAAGAGGTAGGGGGGAAAAGAGGGAATGCCCAGAGGCCAATGTCCAGCTTTAGAAATGAACTTTAAAACTGATGTATCCCACCCCATCCTACCCCTTTTTCTGTGTCCACATTCCCTTATGATGACATTTTGCTGCTTTGCTCTCAGATGTAACTACTCTCCAGAATTTGGTAGGATTATTTGGGGCCAGTAAATTCTCCAGTGGTTTCTATTCCAAAGATTAGTTCTTTATTAACAAGTATAATAAGGACCTAAATAGTGTGAGGCATTTATCTGTGGCATGGAAATGAGAGGTCTTTGAAAAGCAAGAAATGGGTAAGCAGGTGTAAGTTGATGATGAGTGGTGGTATTTATGAAGAACGCCCATTTAACCTCTACATACTATACAAAAAATTTCATCTGAGGAAATGAAGTTTGCTGTCTTATGCTTTTAAAAAAAGTCAGAATCAAATCCATCAATTTTTCTAACTACCAGTATTTCATAATAAGAGACCTATAAAGAAAAAATAGAAGTCACTCAGGTACCTAACTAAAATTTTGTGTTCTCTCCAGATTTAATTTGAGGGTTTTATTTCCTATTACCTAGAAAATTTCTAGGTGACTATAAGCTATTTTAATGGACAGACTCTGTCCATTATTTGTAATTCAGGATGTTATGTATCTGAGCAAATTAGGAGTGGGTCATGAAGGCTTTAACGTTAACAGCTTTGAGGACTTACTTACACCATTGTTTTACAGGCTTCTATCAAACATTACAATTTTTAATGAAATTCAAAAAGCATCTCAGTGGGTAAGGTGTCTGAAAAGTCTTGCCAAATTCTTTGGAAGGGTATATGTCCAAAGTAAATTAAGACATAAATAGTTGTTCAGTGGTTTAAAAAAAGACATAAATAATTTGTTTATGGTTCCAGGCCTATAGTATGGTAGTTAGTTTTGAGATTTAAAACCAATGGTATTACTGCCCTGGTGGGGTGGTTCAGCTGGTTGAAGAATCGTCCCTGTACATGATTGCGGGGACGATTACCAGTCAGGGCACATGCCTGGTTTGTGAGTTCCATCCCTGTTTGTGGTGCGTGGGGTAGGCAACTGATTGATGTTTCTCTCACATCGATGTTTCCCTCTCTCCCTAATATCAATAAACATGTCCTCGAGTGAGGAGTAAAAATCAGTGAATGAATGAATAAATATAAAATTGATGGTACTAGTTTGGGCAAGCCAAGTGAAATAAAATCAGTTCCTGAATATATTGGATTGATTTATTATTTCCAAGGCACTGTGTAGGTATAATTCATATCTATATCCTTAATTTTACTTTCTAGGTGAAAATTTAAACTGTTAAAAGAAAAAATTCAAAATATTCATAAATTTGTAAGTCCGTTGACTCCCTTGACTTATGATGGATGTCCAGGGCTGTTAACCCAGAGAGAGGAGCCTGCGTTCAAATAACCTTTGCCTGAGACTGTTATGCAAATTTGAGATGTTATGTCAGTATCCAGCTGGAGGCTTTACTATGGGATCTTTCCCACAACCTGTAAACTAATTGAGTATTTGAAAGCTGAGTAAGAATTTATGCTGTGGTGTCCATTCAAGGAAATAAGTAGTTATCTCAACAGTTTATATTTTTAAAATCATCCTTCACGGAACTATGTCCATAAGAGAAAGTCTCATGGATAAGACTTAGTAGATTTACTCAGATAAAGCTTTAAAATAAGCCCTGGCTGATGTAGCTCAGTGGATTGAGCCCAGGCCTGCGAACCAGAGAATTGCGGTTCGATTCCCAGTCAGGGTGCATGCCTGGGTTGCAGGCCAGTTCCCAGCAGGGGACGCACAAGAGGCAACTGTACATTGATGTTTCTCTCCCTCTCTCCTTCCCCTCTAAAGATAAGTAAATAAAATCTTTTAAAAAAACAAAAAACTTTAAAATAGTACTTTTTAGGTTTTTTTTTCTTTTTTAAAAAAGATTTTACTTATTTATTTTTAGAGAGAAAGGAAGGGAGAAAGAGAGGGAGAGAAACATCGATGTGTAAGAGGTTGCCTCTTACACACGCCCCTGGGCCAGGCCTGCAACCTAGGCACGTGCCTTCACCAGGAGTTGAACCAGCGAGTCTCACGTCAGATGATGCTCAACCAACTGTGAGCCATGTTGGTAGGGGCAATACTTTGTAGTTCTTTTTTTTTTTTTAAGATTTTATTTCTTTGTTATTGGGGGGGGGCGGGGAGAGGGAGAAAGAGAGGGAGAGAAACATCGATGTGGGAGAGATACATCAATTGGTTTCTTCTTGCATGCCCCCCATGTGGGGACCTGGCCCGCAACCCAGGCATGTGCCCTGACTGGGAATCCAACCCAGGACCTTTCGATTTGCAGGTCAGCACTCAATCCATTGAGCCGTACCAGCCAGGCAGGGCAATACTTTGTAGTTCTTTTTTTCTTAAGATTTTATTAATTTAGAGAGAGAGGAAGGGAGAGAGAAAGAAAGGGAGAGAAACATCAGTGTGTGGCTGCCTCTCATATGGACCCCACTGGGGACCTGGTTCACAGCCTGCGCTCAATCCACTGAGCTACGCCAGCCAGGGCAATACTTTGTAGTTCTTAATCAACATAAAAGTTATTTCTGTGTATACCAGGCTACTTTGCATCATATTAAGACAACCAGCTCATTAGCACATGTCCTTAAATTAGGCACAAGACGAAAGAATTTAAGCTCTACCTTCTCTTTGCCTTTCCATTTCCCATCTCTATCTTTTTTCTTCTTTTTTGACTCTCACATACCTTTTAGTCAATAATTAGCCTCTTTTTTTGGTTTTTCTTTTATGTAGGAATTTGTCATTTTAAAAGGCACTATATTGTAATATTTCATCTACCTACATTTCTCTTTCCATTGTCATTTGATTCATTTTGCTCTGAAATTTTATGTACATGATAATGGGAGTAGTTCTGGGAATGACAGCTTAGAAATATCATCATCATTTGGAGGCAGAACTAGTAAGAAGATTGCTATCTGAATAAAATTTAATGTAGCTGTATAATAATATTAACATTGGAATAAATAATAGATGGGTTAATTAAAAATAAACGTAATAGGACTTTACAGAAAAACACTTGGCAGCGTTTAGTCTTCAGAGTTAGCAGAGACATTTCTCATACCTGTGTAGGTCTAATAATAAATGCTTTCCTCTGAGGAAGAAGAAACAGGCATTGGTTTCACAGAAAATCCAGGAACGAGGAAGAAGCGCCAGTATAGGAGTCTGTCGGGGACGCCTCACCAGATTTTCTGTTCTCGAAGGTGGAATACCAATCAGAAATCATTGTCCCTTCTTTCTCCTCCATTGGGTTTTCTGAATACCCTGTTGTCACAGCAGTGTATCCCCTCTTCCCACTGGCAAGTAAACTTTACAAAGTTTAAGGGGCTTTATTTTGTTGCTTTAATGAGAGAATGTTTTATATTCTGGCACTTTACTGCCAGAATATAAAAAATCTTACTCTTCGCTTATAATATTTATTTTAAAAGTGTATGTATCAAGTGGCCCAGGGTATAAAGCAGGGTATCACTTCCTCATACAGTCTTGGTCAGAAAACTGTATTTTCCTAGAGTTGGAATCTCAGACCTAATTGTACCTGCAAGTATTGTACATTACAGAGAGTGTCCTTCTCCCTGACTATCTTCCTGAGTGCTTTGCCCAATTCTGTTTCCTAAAGGTCAGAACTATGCAGTGCTTCCAAGGGAAGTTATGGGCCTGCGCTAGACAAAGCCTGC